ATAAACTAATAAAAATTAGATACCATACATTTCAAGGAAACAGAGTCATTTAGAAAGACAATGAAGAAAAAAACAAAGAGTAGCCAAAGCAGCAGCAGCACGGGGAGAAGGCTGGTTCTGTGGTGACGATGAAACAGCGACGGACCCGTGTGAGCCTGACCTCTGGCACCAGGCCGGGCTGAAGGGTGGGGGACAGGGAGGGAAGTGACCATGAGAGAGGCGGAAGAGCTTCCAGAAAGGGACATACCGAAGGCTCAGTGGGCAGCCACGGCCTCCTGCAAACAGGCCCACGGCCCCTTCTTCTTCCCAGACCTGCTGGCCACAGGGCAGTGATTCATGGCCAAATCCTATTGGATGGGCACCACAAGGCTGGCTTCTCCTCTATCTGTCCCCAACCTCCAGCTCTGCAGGTCCTGGTGCTCCCGTGGAGAGCTCAGTGGGGGAAAACTCATCGGGACGTCAAGCTAAGCTAGGACAGCTAACTTGCCAGGGAGACCCAAGGAAACCAGACGTAGAGGGCTACATACAAAACACTGTTTGGAATGTCTGCACCAGAGCCAAGGTAGAGTTGGGACAACCTTGGAGAGACAGGCTGGGAACTCCCGGCAACATCCCCCAGCCTTTCATTCTAGGGGGCTGGTCTTGAGGCTGGCCGCCCAGAAGACAATGGGGAATTCTTGACTACGTTCTGAGGTAGTCTAATCGCAACTTGCACGGGCAGCTGAGGATGGTCTCAAACAATGGGGGGAAGGCAGGCAGAAACGTTGCCACCGAGAGAAAAGGCTAACATATATAACAGAAGGAATTAAGCCACAGGTGGGCTCAGAGATGACCAGAGTGTGGCCTGGGGTCGGGGGTGGCCAGCAGCATGAACAGAGATGAGAGGATCCGGGGGCAGTGTTCCCGGGCCAGGGCAGTGGTAACTCTGAGGTGAGGGATGTCCCTGCTACTTACTGACCAGTGTCATGGTGATCATGAGCCAGAGAACCCGGGGGTCTCGGGGGGTGGATCCCAATGTTCCCTCCAGCTATGACTCCTCTCGCCTGAGCCTCTTTTAGGGGGACCCAGTACTGCTGGACTTGAACTTGGAAAACACTTAAGAGGCCCCTGCTCTGAGGGAGCAGTCAGACCCTGAGCCACCACAGAGAGAGAAATGACAAGAATGAAAAGCAAAGGCGTTGTCAGACCCCTCCCGCCGCTTCTTATGCTAACGTATCTTCTTCTCCTCATCTGCCCCGGCACTCGGGATTCTAAGTCAGGATGGAACGTCCTGAAGGTTTAGGAAGCAGCAGCCGGGTGGACGTTACAACTTTCTCCACTTTGCACATTTCCGAAAACGCCTTCTGGGACGGAGCTCACCAAAGTCTTCCACTTCATTTTCGTAATCATCTTCTTGAACGACACCTGTTTAAAAAGCAAAGAAAACAGAAATGAAGTGCAGAATGGTGATCTTTTTCACTCTACTGCAACATATAACATCCTAGTAAAACCTGATGTCTCTGTAATCGTTGTTTTAAATTAAAGAAAAAAAAACCAGGCAGAGCCAAAGTAAACACCCTTCTCCAGAATGTTCTTTTACAGGCTAGTTCCTCTGGCCTTATTTCAGAGGCCCTTTAAACGAAAAATCTGTCAAACAAAGCCTAAAATCAACCTCAGCCTTGAGCTGGTATCCCAGTTATATTCTCCTGTTTGAAACAATCACAAAAGTCATGGTGCCAGAAGTGACTATAATCTAAAGATTTTTTATTGGCACAGACATGTGTGTCAAGTCCTTTCCAGTTTTCCCCAGCTCGGGGGTCTGGATTTTCCAGCAGCCTCTGGATTATGAGGACTCACAGAAGGGCAATCTGGGGCAGGTGAGATACTGGGAGGAAGAAGAAATAAGGTCTCCCCAAGAGGGGGAGACTTTCCAGATCAAATAGAACTCGGCAAGATAAGGCTGACTGTCGAGAAAGAAACCCAACTCACTATACACCAGCCTTAAACCCTCTGAAGGAAGATGTATGCAAGTTTCCCCAATGATTTTATGTGTTTTGTTCACAAATTTGTTTTATATCCCCAAGCCCAGAACAGTACTGATACATTCTAGACACTCAATACATATTCATGGACTTACATGAATGGTTTGCACAGGCAAACATTTATCTAGGGATGGCTTTGCAACACTTTGCCCACCATGGGAGTAGTGACAGAGCATCACTGATAACAGCTCATGAGTGGCAAACGTTTTTGGAAAAGCAACTGGCACAAGCCCTGAATAACAGCCCTCACAGTCAGATGGGGGAACCCAGCCACTCTATCACTATTGACCTGAGTCACTGGGGGCAGTGACTGCTCACATCACAGGCGGCCCTACTTCAGACTGACCTGGGAGCCAGCAGAATCAAGGACCACAAGACCCAGAGCCTCACCCTGGGGTGAAGGACTCCTCACCTTCTTCCTTCAAGCGCAGCTCTGTCTTCCTCAGCCACTCCCGCGCATCCCTGGAGGACGGGATCAGGACGTTGATCAGCCGAGCCATGACCTCCTCCGCTAGGGAACCAAAGAACGAGAGCTCTGAGTGAAAGGGCGGCTGTAGGGACCAGGACACTCAGTACTAGAGTCAAAGCCCCCAGCTCCTGGGAGCTCGTCTCTGCTTCCCCTGTGGAGAGGGGCAGCATAAGGCCACTGTCTGCCACCAGGAGCAGAAACCACAAGTAGATGCCAGCCTGATTACCAGTCCTGCCCGTCTGGAGACACTGCCAGTAGCAAGCCTTTCGAGGAAGCTTTTGTTCAAACTGTGATTATCTTAAACCAGAGTGTCTGAATTCTAGAATGATTTAAAAATATGGAATTTCACTGATTTTATACATAACTTCCACTCAACATTGCTAAGATGTAGCTAATAAGGATGTCAGAGGAAATCTGATTCACAGAACACATAAGAATTCTTATTAAAGGCTCACACTGGGTATGATGTGAGGACCCTGCTAAAAGAAGAGACCAGCTACGTACCTCTAGATCTTAGTCAAGAGTTCAGCACATAGTAGGTGCTCAAGAAACAATCACTGAATGAATGAATCAGGGGACGTTTAAAGAGTTTCCTCAAGGGCTCCCCTGGTGGCGCCGTGGTTGAGAGTCTGCCTGCCGATGCAGGGGACGCAGGTTCGTGAGCTGGTCCGGGGGGATCCCACATGCCGCGGAGCGGCTAGGCCCGTGAGCCATGGCCACTGAGCCTGCGCGTCCGGAGCCTGTGCCCCGCAACGGGAGAGGCCACAGCGGTGAGGGGCCCGCGTACCACCAAAAAAAAAAAAAGTTTCCTCAAGATTTGAAACATTCCCCCTCTATGCTCTACATAGAATTGGTTAGCAAACATTTTTCTTGTCTGTTGTGCCAGGGGAAACCATCCTGACCCAAGATGATGACACATTGTTAACTGTGGGAGGGGTGGTCCAAACAATGGGGCTTTGCTGTAATTGGAGAACGCACGGTCCTCACTTGTATTTCTGCTAATGCCAAGATTCCATCATCCCCAGGTCAGACATCACTACAAAGGACTGGAGTCCTACATGTGTTCTCAAAGCCCAGGTTCTGACACCATCTGCGCCCCACTTCTGAGGGCCCTTACCACCAGCCCAGGCCTTCCGCCTGTAGAGATCCTCCACCATGTCCGAGACCTTCTTGATGTTCTCCTGGACCTTCCTCTGCAACATGTGGCTGTGCTCTTTGGAGCCCAGGTGGCTGCGGACCCACACGTTCTGCTCCATGTCCTGCACCACCAGCTTGCCTTCATCAATAGCCGGGTCCACCTTCTTGTGGAAAAAGTCTGAGTACTTCTGGTAGGCCGCTTGCTGCCTCTGGTGGCTTTGCAGGCGGATGTGCTGCTCGTAAGACTCACTGCTCCTCTCCCGACCTTGCTCGTCTTCCAGCTCGGCCCCGGAAAGGGCCACAGCCTCAGGAGCCGCTCCCTCAAATGCCTGATCAGAGCCAAAATAGTTCTCGGGCCCACGGGTGAACTTCACCCCACACAGGTCACACTGGGTCCTGTCCACATCGGCCTTTTTGAAGCTCCCAGCCCCGGGTTCCCTGCCCTCCTCTCTGAAGTGCTCGGCCTGGGCCCCCATCCTCCTCCTCCAGCTGATGCACAGGGACACCACCAGGTACGCCCTCCGCAGCTTCCGCTGGATGGAGGCCTTCCGCTGCTTCTGCGACAGGATGGTGGCAAGGAGGTGGTCCCGGTCTTCCAAGGCCAGCTCCTCCATCTCGTCCTGACCTACCTCGCACTCGGGTTCGACAAAGTAGCCCATGGGGTCCTCGGAGAACAGGCGGTTCAGTCTGACCTCCTCGTGGTAGAGGCCTCGGACAGTGGTCCCTTTGGTGTGCCCGCTGTCCCACTGCCAGTGGCAGTCCATCAGGTATTCTTCATCCCGCTCAAAGAGCAGGTCCTGCAGCGCCTCCACCACAGACTTCACGTTGACCGCCAGCTGCACCCGATTCACTGCTCTGAGGAGCCTCTCGGGGACCTGGCCCGGGAAGTCCCTGCTCATCAGCTGCAGCCTGGCCTCGATCTCCTGGAAGTGGCTTGACAGAAGAGGCTTGCATGACAGCTGCAGCACCCCCTCAGTGTTCACAAGCATCACCAAGCACAGCACCAGGGTCCGCTCTGCCTCCCCGGACACCAGGTAGTCAATTTCACTGAAGGCATCGAGCAGGACATTGAAGTTCTTGTTCTCGTGGCCGCAGAGCACCTTGACGAGGTAGGACAGGTGGAACTGGAAATTCTGAATGGCTCTGGTCACATCCTTGGGTCTGTATTCCTGAATGATGGCGAACACATCCCCAGGCTCCCGGTCCTTCTTGCTGAACAGGAACTCCCAGTAGTGCAACAGTGCGATGTAGCTCTTAGGGAGGCACAGGATGGCGTTCTTCCAGAGGCGGGCCAGAACCGCCCCACAGTGGATGAACTGGAACTCCAGCAGGGCCACCGTGTTCCCAATGCTGGGGATGAGTGGCTCTTTGCACCTCTTGACAAGGACGTTCATGAAACGGAAAAAGCGCCTCTTGTAGTCTTCTGGGTTCCTGCACACGTAGAACTGGTGGATGGAATCCTCCAGCAGCCGGATGAAGCACAGGTGGGTCTTCTCCACGCTCTCATCATCCTTGTTGGGCGTCAGCATGCCAAATTTCCCTTCTATTCCTTTCATCCTGCTGCTTCTCCCCGTGCTCCTTCCCTCTTTTTCAGCCTGGAGGGCTTTGAGTTCCCGGTTGTACTGGTCCTCCTCCTGGTGGAGCAGCTTTTCAAGCTCATCAGGGTAGCTAGAAGAGAGAAGGAAAGCTTGCATGGCGCTCAGCCACAGGTCTGTGGACTCCCGGCGGCTTCGAGCCCTTTCGTTTTGAAATAGGACATGGATGTACTCTTTCAGGGCAGACCTGTAGGACCAGAAGGATCTGTAACGTGGTTTCAGGACTTCTTTGCATGCCATGGGGTTTTCTGACAATACTCTCTGATGGAAATGCTTAGGGAAGAGGACATTCAGCAGGGATTTGCAAAGGCCATATTTATCCGGAGACAAAATATAATCGATTTCTTCAAGTTCTTCAGCTAAGACTTTAGGGAATACTTTTTTGGCTTCCAAAAGCAATCCGCTAATCGCCACCAGGTGTATTTTTGTCTGAACCAAACACTTGGCCTCATGACGCCGCAAAGGCCTGTGGAAATCTTCACAGTGTTCATCCTCGCATTTTAAGCCCACGATAAACCTCGTGCAGACGCCCAGGTAGGTCTTCCCAAGCAGGCTCCGTGTGATCTGACACAGCCTGCTCAGAAGGTGTTTGTTTAAGGCTAATTTCACCTGGTCCGTCATTATCAAGAAATGCTCTTTCGTTTTCTTCTCTCTCAAGTTCAAATCCAGGTCAGAAATGATTCTTGATATGTGTCCGGGGTTGTTCTGAGCTATCTGGCAGTACTTGGCATCCACCTGCGAAATCCCAAAAAACTCAAAGCAAGACTTGACCATCTCCTTCTCGGCGTTGTTGGTCACTCTTTTGAGGGCCCTGACCAGACTGAGAAGGACCTCCAGGCCCGCCGGAGCCAGGGCCAGGACATCCTCGGGCTGGGCCTCACAGCGGCTGGTGGCTTCGTAGAGCGCCTCCACTGCCCCTGCCGAGTGGTTGAGGGTGTCAAACATCAGGAAGGCGTCCTTGAGCTTTGGAAAGTCTCTCAGGATCACCCCCTGCAGGAAGTGGGCCTCGGCGATGCCGGACACCTGACTGGTCTGATGGCAGAGGTCCAGGGCTTCTCTGAGGATGGCCTTGGTATGGTCGACATCGGAATCCCTGGCCATGTTGAGGCGGGCGGCTGCCAGCAGACATGAGGCCTGGAAGTCCTTGTCGGCAGTGAGCCTGGCAGCCTCTAAGAAGCAGCCATGTTGCTTCATCAGCAGGGCGGCCTCTTCCCTCCGACCTTCCCTGTTGAGCAGGTCGGCAGCCTCTGCAAGCCGCTTCCGAGACTTCAGAAACACCAGCTGGTCTTCCGTGTCGAGCTTTGAGAGCACAGCCATCATCTCCTTTATCTTATTCGTGCTCAGGTACTTGGCTGCAGCTTCCAAGTAAAACTGGCTGGCTGAATAGGAGAGCTTGGGAATGGGATGGGTCTTGGCCCTTAGCATTTCTTCATACCTGCAATGACAGACAGACAACACCAATGTCAACTCAGTACCACCCAGCAGAAACTTTACAAAATGCAGCACAGAACAACTCATCATAAAATGACCACTTGTAGATAGGACCTGCAGAATAGGACCTAAAGTTATCCAGCATCTTTATCAAGGCTTCATTTTACACTGATAAAATTAATTCTTTATTCCTCGAAGGAACCAAGCAATAGTATGCTTAATTAATGAAATATAGTGGAGTTGCAGAAAAAGAAAAAATACTAAAAAAAAAAAACAAAAAAGAAACACACACACAAAAGAACAAACCCCTCCCAAAAGCCAAAAAAAGAATAAAAAACAAAAAAAGAAAAAATAAACAAAAAAGAAAAAAAAGAAATATAGTGGAGTTGCAACCTAGGCAAGTAACAATTATGTTGGAAAGTCAATCTGTAAGGCAGAAATTATGCATAGCCAAAATCATCCTTGAAAAAAATCCCTTAAACTTGCATAAAAGCTTGCTAATCACTTTGGGTTCACAACCCTGTTGAGTCTGATACCTGATTAATGAGAAAGAGTGGAGATGGGGGCTGCAGACACACGAGCCATTACATCAATCTTCCTCTTATTAACCAACCCGTGACTTTTCTCTTTTGCCAGGAATGTAAGCAGTTGAGTTAGTGTGAGATGAATGAAGCCCCGAAGTCACCAAAGTCAAGCTCCTCTTGACTCTGCTGATCCAAGTGAGTATACCCCACATATGAATTTTCAAGGCATTGGGCCAATCCAATGAAACATGCTTACTTTTGAACTCTCACAGGAGACAAAACACATTTCCTCACAACCAGAGAGGTGCCCAGGGACCTCCTGCTGCCCCAGGGTCATCTCACAAATATCAGATCCCTTCGTATAACAGGCCCTCTGTGAAGGGGTGTAACTGAGGATTAGCCTCTCTTGTGAGTTTTGGCTGATGGAGTAGGGGGTATTTACAGCAAGTTAAAAAATTTTTTGGGACCTCCCTGGTGGTCCAGTGGTTAAGACTCCATGCTTCCACTGCAGGGGGCCTGGGTTCGATCCCTGGTCAGAGAACTAAGATTTTCCTCATGTCACGCAGCATGGCCAAAGGAAAAAAAAATCTTAAACTACATATGGGAACATATGTATATGTATAACTGATTCACTTTGTTATAAAGCAGAAACTAACACACCATTGTAAAGCAATTATACCCCAATAAAGATGTTAAAAAAAAAATCTTAAACTAAGAAAATTTACTTAGGTATTTTCTTTTCAAATCTAAAATGTCCTCATTACGTTTTGAGTCAGGCCAGTTAGCAATTGAATTCTACATACACTGTATAGAGCATTCAAAAGACACAGAAAAATCAAGTGTGAGGCTCCAATTAGTACTGATGACATTAGATCTCAACTCAACATATCATTAAAAAGAGTCAGTTGAATACCTCAGGAAGGCTGATAAAGATAAACAAAATAATGAGAGACCCCAAAAAAATGTTTCTGGGGAAAATCTATGATTATTCAATGCTCTCCTGGAAAAGTGAGAACAGATTAACTAAATAATTGAAAGTACAATAAAACCCTCTCAGGTGGTTTTGTCATATGGCCTCACAAGGGAATTGGCCTGGTTGATTACTCAGCGTACACAGCACCCAATCAATGTCACAGGGGGCACCCTGTTACGGATGACAGTTTGTGTCCCCTAAAATTCATATGTTGAAGCCCTAACCCTTAGTGTGGTTGTATTTGGAGATGAGGCTTCTAAGGGAGTAATTAAGGTTAAATGAGGTCATAAGGGTGGAGCCTTGATCTAATAGGATTAGTGTCCTAATAAGAAGAGACACCAGGGAATTCCCTGGTGGTCCAGTGGTTAGGACTCTGTGCTTTCACTGCCAAGGCCCGGGTTCAATCCCTGGTCGGGGAACTAAGATCTCACAAGCCACGCAATGTGGCCAAACAAGAAAAAAGAAAAGAAAAAACAAAAAAAGAAGAGACACCAGAGAGGGAGCTCTCTGTCGCCCACAATCTCTCTCTCCCTCCATGCTTAAACACCAGGGGAAGTCCACGTGAGGACATAGCAAGAAGGCAGCTGTCTGCAAGCCAGGAAGAGAGCTCCCACCAGTAATCCAATTGACTGGAGCCTTGATCGTGGACTTCTAACCTCCAAAACTGTGAGAAAATAAAATAAATTTCTGTTGTTTAAGCCACCCGATCTATGGCATTTCATTATGGCAGCCTGAGCTGACTAATACATACACACTGTGTATATCTTCCACATAATGGAACCAAAGACCTGGATAAAGGAATATGCTCAATTACCAACCTTGACACTGGACACCTTCTTTTCCATTTCCAAAAATAAAACTCAATTTCTTTATCTAGGTGTTGGTTACACAGGTGTATTTACTTTGTGAAAATTACGTGCTTTTTAAAAATATATGATATACTTTAATAAATGCTAACTTTAATATAAACTTCAAACACCTGGTCAATCATGTTCATTTTGTCACATGTATAATTTGGTAGAAAGCAAAGAAAATACAGAACTAAGCCACAGCCTACTTTTCCAGGAGCTGTTGAGCAGAAATACAGAACAGCAGACTCTACAATTCTAGCTGTTACACTCCACCAGGAAGACCTCCGACAGGCATCAACCACATGCTGTTTCTAGATTCCTTGTCATCCATTAACCCCACCCATCTGCACTTCACCTTTGGAACATCAGTTAGGCTGAAGGCTCAAGGAGGCTCTACCGGGCCATGTATGAAACTTGTGTGTCCTACAACTGAGGGCATGTGTATATACATATCATACGTATCATACACATATGTATCAGGGCCTGGCTGGGCATCTGGCAGTAAACCACGATGAAGCAGATCCTGACCGCCCACTAGTACTCTGACCTCTATCCATCCACACATCAGTGAAATTGTCAACTCAGCAGGTAAAGGTGGAGAGGACAGAACTATCATTAAGCACGAAATTGCTGGGCATGTTATAGACACTCGTAACGCATCCTTCATCTTCTTCTGCCCCCTCTCCCCAGGACGCTGTATTCAAGGAGTTCTTGACTCAGCACGGAGGTCACCACCCAAGTGGAAGGAGGGTGACTTGGTCAAGTCACTTCAGAAGAGCAAGACAACACCTACTCAAGGAGCAACAGGACGGCAGGGCTTGGGGGGATCTGGGGGGAGAAAGGAAGAGAATAAAACAACTTACTTTTCCACCGCCACAGCAGCTTCTTCAAAAAGTTCCTCTTGGCAGTACATTTTGAGGGCTAGATCAAATTCCTGAATCTGCTCAAAGCATCTGAAAGCATCTTTGTAGCACTGGCTTCGCTTATAGAAGGAGGCGGCATCTCTTATCTAGGACAGAGTAAAATTTTACTCAGAGTATTTATAATATAACTTTTCATCTTAAAAGTAAACCAACACCATGAATAATAAAGAGGATGTCTGCGATTTATTAGCATCTAGTGAAAAACACTAAAACATAGGTAATTTAGGAAAACTACTGCTTTATAGGGAGAAAAATAAAGTGAAATACCAACCTCACCATACACAGATGGAAGCTCCAGATGGGTTAAAGGTCTAAGTGAGAAAGCTATTGGAGGAGAATGTATGAGAATATCTTTGTGACCTTGAGGTAAAGAAAGTCTTCAACAAAACTCAAAACACATGAACTTTGGGGGAGAAATTGATGGATCTGATTACAGTCGACCCTTGAACAACACAGGTTTGACCTGCACAGGTCCACTTATGCAAGGATTTTTTTCGATAATAAATACTACAGTGTGACATGGTCTGCAGTTGGTTGAGTTCCTGATATGAAACCAAGGATACAGAGGAACCTCGGATATGGAGGGACAACTATAAGTTATATGTGGATTTTCAGCTGCACGAAGGGTCAGTGCCCCAATACCTGCACTGTTCAAGGGTCAGCTATACATCAAAACTGTTCAACAAAGAGCACATCAAATAAAGTTAACATAGAGAAGACAAACATTAACATCTAGCCCAGCACTGTCAGACAGAGCCTTCTGTGAAGATGGAAATGTTCTGTATCTATCTATCCAATATGGTAGCCACTAGCCACGTGGGAACAGTGAGCACAGGAAATGTGTGGATAGTGTAACCGAGGAACTGTATTTTTGATTTCATTTAGTTAATGTTATTATAAATTGCCACATGTGGCCACTGGCTACTGTACTAGAGTGGACAGGTCTAGAACATAAAATGGATTCCTGCAAACACAAGAAAAAGACCTTCCAGAAAACTAGGCAAAGGGTATGAACTGGCAGTCTGCAGTGGGGGGAACTTAAATGACTAACAAATAAATGAAGATGCTCAACCTTGCTAATAACCAGAGAAATGTAAATTAAAGCCACAGTGAGATACATCCATGAGGTCTGCAAAAATTAGAAAATCAGAACCCTCTGAACGTGGTCATGGATATGGGGCACAACGACCCCTCATGCACGGAGTGGTACAGCTGCTCTGGAAAGCAAAGTGGCTTTCAACTTTCACTTGGTGAAATTAAACACATGCGCCCCCTGGGGTCAGCAAAACCACTCCTAGCAGTTCACAGCACTGGAAGGGGATGTGCTGTGTCATAATACTTGTGTGTGGCAGCTGGGAGTTGGTGGCGACTTGGATGTTCACCACGAGGGAAATGGGTAAGTCAAACGCACTGGATGCCCATTCTGGAATACGAACAGTGGTCAGACACCTGGCTGGGCCTTAACACCATAGCGGAGGGTGGAAAAAGTAGCAAACAGAACAAGATGCTATTTAGATAAGCTTAAAACAAATATGCACAGAGAATACAATACTATTTATTCTTCGGTTATGCACGTGGATGGGGACATATATTAACTGCATTGGAATGGCAGCCAATGAGAAGAGAATGGAAATGGCCATGAGGAGGAAGAGGATGAAGAATATAAAACAATGGTGGGTTTACGTGAACAGAAGAGTATATTCCACTCCTCTTCCTCTCACGTTTCCTGCCCAGCTTATCAGTTAATCGCGTTGGCTTGGCTCTCCCAACATTTCCCAGACAGGACCCCTTCCTAGCCCCTCCACCACCATGGAGGCAATCCAAGCCGTAGCATCTCAGCCTAAGCCACTGTTCACCCCTCCGAACTGGCCTTTCCGCTTCTACTTTTGCTGCCTACAGAGCTCTCCACAGAGCATCCCAATAATTCGTTTCATGTCACCCCTCCAATCAAAACCTTCCACTGGCTCCCCCTCACCCCGGAACAAATCCAGTCGCTACCATGGACCACAAGGTCCTACCCGATTTGTTTCTGCCACACTCTCTGGCTCATTTTACCAGTTCGACCCCACTCACTCTGCTTTGGCCAAACTGGCTTCCTTGCTGTTTTCAAACTCGCCCGTACGCTCCCACCTTGGGGGCTTTTATCTGCCATGTCCTCCGGAGGCAGCTGTTCTCGTGGTCTCCTTGCAGAAGTCAGCTCCCTGACCCCGCCTGCACCTAAAACAGCAACGCTTGACACCCCCTCTCCCCTCCCCCAGCCCTCATCCCCGCTGACATCTTCTGTCCTATTGGCTCTGTCACCTCTCTCCCACACTAGAAAGGAAAACTACAAAGGCAGAGGCCCCTGCTCTGCTGCCTGTTGGTTGCCACGTGCCCACAGTGCCTGGTACACACTGCGGGGGGCAGCGGGGGGCTACCTATTTGTTGAATATTTCATTTCCTAACTCGACTGGCTGCACCTGACATCCAAAGAGAAAACAGAATCAAAATGGAACAAAACAAAATGCATATGCCAGACTCTCTAATAAATCTCAGCTGGGTTTTATTTAACGAGACAAGCTACACGAAATGCCAAAATAGGAACAAGATCCAGGTGTGAGGTTCTTCTATGTCCAGAGACCTCACAGACCAGGGAGCTACTAGACCCATTGCCCCACATCAATCACACCCCATAACCATAACACCTAGCCACCTTTACCTCTCCTTGACAAGGCTGACTACTCAGAAGAAAACCCCCAGGGTGAACGCAGGCCCCCTTAGGTGCAAGCGTGCACCCAACTGGGTCGAGAGAGAGGAGGGCTGGCTCTAAGCAGGCCCCCCCACCCCGGGTCTCTGGGCTCCTGCCGCCCAGAGCAAGGGCCCTGAGAGGTTTCCAGGGAAACCAGTGTTGACCTCTGGAGAGGCAGGAAGCAGGCAAGGCAGAGGAATCCCTGAAAGGAAACCTTCTGCTCCCACAGCCACTTCACAAACCCCTCTCCCCAGGGTCAGCACACGTCTGGGGACTGTGAACAGGGAGGCGGTGTGGCCTAAGGATTTTGCAAAGGGTGGTCAACTTGAATCATGCTGGCTAGTTTGGTGGGATGACCACAAGAGGTCTGATGCTGTCTGAGGGTTGAAAATCCTGCCAGGGAGGGGCCTGAGCAAAGAAAGGGACCAGACTCCTCCCCAGCTGGGGCTCAGAGCTACTGGAATGTGCTGGCAAGAGAAGGCGGAAGGAGCTGGCACCGGTGGTCAACCCTGGGGACGTGAGGAAGGCCAGCAGCCTGTGTCTCCAGGACCAGGGCGGCCTCCATATCCTGAAGGCTCTGAGGTCCTGGAGAAGGGAATGCGGCCGGACATCTGGCCTGCTGGGCCCCACCCCGCTTTCAGAGGTGGAGCTCGGCGGGCCTCGGGGAGGCAAGGTGAGCAGACAAGGAAGGGGGCTCTGGCTTAGCCGGGATGGGCACTGTCAGGCAAAGAGGGGAAAGCAACAGGTTCAGGCCTGTCCCCTGTTGCTGTCACTGCTTAGGGCCCAAGGGGGTGCCTTGGAGATGGAGGCCGGGGGACAAAGGAACATGGAGAGTTCAGAAACCATTTTAGTTCCTGGAATCTTATGACCCAAACTTCCTTCACACGCTGAAATCCCCATTCCACCCCCTTCTCCCACATGCTAACTAGTCACGTCCCATACTAAACATGGGGCAGGGAGGGCAGCTTTGGGATGGCCTTATCTTCTCTGACACTGACTTGGGGCCACACTTCAAACTTCCCAGGAGGTCCCACCTCCACCCAGCCCAATGCCCAGGGTGCTCTGAGGGTCCAGGAGTTCCTCCAGTTCACATACAGACATGAACAGCCCCCTCCCTACTGGACGGTCATAACACCTGACGCAGGAGGAAATGCAGTAGCTGCAGCCGGGAACCCTACAGCAGCATCCGTGGTGAGGACCAGATGGTTCCACATCCAACCCACCACAACGGATACGGTAAAAATGAACTGCTTCGTATTATTTATGATAGCCAAGATATGGAAGCAACCTAAGTGTCCATCAGCAAAGGAATGGATAAAGAAGATGTGGTACATATATACAATGGAATACTACTCAGCCATAAAAAAGAATACTGCTCAGCCATTTGCAGTAACATGGATGGAGAGTACTGTGCTGAGTGAAAAAAGTCAGACAGAGAAAGACAAATACAGTATGATATCACTTGTATGTGGAATCTAAAAAATACAACAAACTAGTGAACAAAACATAAAAGGAGGAGACTCACAGATTTAGAGAACAAACTAGTGGTTACCAGTGGGGGAGAGGGGCAAGACAGAAGTAGAAGATTAAGAGGTACAAAGTATTAGGTAAAAAATAAGCTTCGGGCTTCTCTGGTGGTGCAGTGGTTCAGTCCGCCTGCCGATGCAGGGGACACGGGTTCGTGCCCCGGTCCGGGAAGATCTCACATGCTGCAGAGCGGCTAGGCCTGTGAGCCATGGCCGCTGAGCCTGCGTGTCCGGAGCCTGTGCTCCGCAACGGGAGAGGCCACAACAGTGAAAGGCCCGTGTACCGCAAAATAAATAAATAAATAAATAAGCTTCAAGGATAGGGGCTTCCCTGGTGGCGCAGTGGTTAAGAGTCTGCCTGCCAATGCATGGGACACGGGTTTGAGCCCTGGTCTGGGAGGATCCCACGTGCTGTGGAACAAGTAAGCCTGTGCGCCACAACTACTGAACCTGTGCTCTAGAGCCCTCGTGCCACAACTGCTGAAGGCCAGGCGCCTAGAGCCTGTGCTCTGCAACAAGAGAAGCGACCACAATGAGAAGACTGCGCACTGCAACGAAGAGTAGCCCCCGCTCACTGCAACTAGAGAAGGCCCACGGGCAGCAACAAAGACCTAATGCAGCCAAAAATAAATAAATTAAATAATAAAATTTAAAAAGTATATATATATATTTTAAAAAGCTACAAGGATA